AGAAAGCAATGATATTTTACATTATATACAATTTTGTAATTACACTATGTACAAATCTTCCAACTGATAGTCATCCAACTTATACCGCCTTTTCAAGTTTAGGAACAAATTATCAAATCCCTATCAGTTAAATGATTTAAAGAGAGTATTTAACGCCTGCCCTTTTAAGACAATGGTTAATAAATCGATTAAGTATTAGATTCAGAGAATTTTAATAAGAAACATAATTTCGCGTTGTAGATTTATCGTATGTATGAATGTAATAACTCAAAGTATCCCACTGCCGATAACGGAATTTCAGATAGTATGACACACACACACCCTCTTTCATTTCCGTCATTTTGTTTCTTTTAAGCAACTAATTCTTATAAACACTTATTTTTAAAAGCAAAGACTCTTGTGCTGTAAAAATTCGAATAAATGTGTAAAGTAGACGGAATGAAATTGGTACGTTACTATGACACCCTAGAACATGAATGAAAATATATTTAATTAACGATATAATGTAAAGGCACGTTTCGCTTATTCACCACCAAAAATATGTACTGGCTGTTGTTTCTAGATGATCCGATAGCTGTATTCGTAAGAACATAGAAATCTGAAAAAGTTGTTTGTTCAACAGAATGTCTTGCATTTTACAAGGTATCTGAAAATGTCACCTATTTCAAAACCTCTTTGTCAATTACTATAGGAAAAAACTGTGGGCAGCAACAAAGATACAATTAGCTCCTAAGGGCTTACTATAAAATGGCGAAGTGCCATATACTTCCGTATTTTAGTTCTTAAAACACGACATAAAGAAATAAAAAGTAATAAGCCAGAATGTAAATTAATATTTGGAATGAACTGTTGCATATCTGTGCAAAATGGGAAACTTAAGTTTGCAAAATCAAAAACAAAAAAAAATAAATAAATACACTACACGTTAAATAATACTTAATACGTAGTCTTTCTAACATGCAGTTAAAAAATAGAAATTTTTTTAATTATTTATGAAGGAACCTTTAAAGAAATAATGAAGTATTCATATTCGTATTTTAAGTATATTAGATAGTAAGAAAAATGGAACAGAATTGTTTTTCGGAATTGGAATGGAACAGAATTTTTGGAATGGAACAGAATTGGAATTGTTTTTTGTTTTTTCAGATGAAACGGAAAGAGTTTATTAAAAATGCTAGGATGAAAAAACTTATTAAAGTAAAGATTGGGGAAAATAAACTCTTTCTGTATTCATCGACTTTTCCTAAGAAAAATCATTCCAAAATCTATTACATCGAAATTCTCCTAAGAAAGGCGTATATAAAACATTAGCTATTAACTGGACTCGTGCTAATAATTCGTATGAAAATTCTTCAGTATTCATTACATTTAGTCTGTCTCATATATCCCATACCTAACGGTTAATCTGTCTGATATATCCCATAACCTAAGAGTATATATTAAGTTTATTAATGGGTTCACCAGCGGCCGAGAGTTAAAGTCGCTAACACTGGTAGTTCGGTCCGAGGTTCGAATCCCGCGAACGGGCTGGCTGCATGGGCGTTTTCGTGGTTTTCCCCGTGTGTAACGTGTATACGAGTCAGTTTCTCTTAGAAAGTCTTCCACGAAGGCATCCCTCCTCTTAGGCAGATAGCCCTAGTGTGCTTTGCCATAATTAAATAAACCAAACCAAACCAAGTTTATTAATGGTGACTCAACCCTTCATCGCTTGAGAGGGTCGATAAAATGAGTACCAAATTCGCTTGGGGACTAAACGCCGAGGGTCCTACGACAAGCTGACCACTTATCCAGGCAATATGCACAAGTACCCCAGGGCCCACGGTCTACAAAGCAGATATCAGGGCACTGTCGGGCTCTGTAATGGCTGCTTGAGCCATCGCGTTTAGTCGTCGGTGAAAGATCGAATATTGCATTACATTCTTCTACATTGAACCCTCACCGGTGTATGTCGACAATCACAGATATGCTCTGGTGTAGGTCGAAAAAGAGAGGAGTATATGTACATGCTCTCATTGCAAAAGGAAGTGTTTCACAAAAAAATGCACTTGTAAAAGCAAGGGCCTCTTGTGCAATTCAAAGTGTCATAATAGTTTAAGTTGTTGCAATAAATAAGACTTTAATCACATAATTTAGAAAGTTTTTAACTTCTATTATTTTCCTTTCTCATTTTGAATGTACTGTGTGTTTTAAGTTCTTATATTCTTAAGTTCTTATTTTAAGTCTTAAGTGCGTTTTTCGCGACTGAATTACGGAGAAAAAAAGTATAATACTATTCTTATATACTCAATATTCACCATTAGTACATGGTGAATGTCTACATTTACCGGTGTAAGTCAGAAATAAGAGTATTTGTAAAATATTTCGGACATACACCAAGCGACTATGTGAATGTTGGCATTCACCGGTGAAAGTGGACATTCTCCAAATTTCGGTGTTTCACCATAACATATATATATTTGAAGATTGCTGCAGGACAAGTATGTGTCCCCTATTATCGATTTTTTTCAATAAATAAAAAGAGAATGAAAAAAATTTAAAAGCTTTCAGATTTTTCATTTAGATACACATATACTTTTCGAGAACATTTAGGTTAAAAATATTTAAAAGCAGCATACCTTTAGAATTTCCGATAGATAGTCTCTTGCCTTGCAGATAAAAATGTTTAATTTCGTGCAGTGTTGCCACAGCTTGCTTTCAAATCCTTGAGTTTTTTAATCAAAAATTATTTAAAGTTTTACAAAATATGAAATGGATAGTAAAACTAATTCAAAATTAAAAATTCGGGCTTCCATGTGCCATATTCGGTGAAGGACTACATTATTCAAAATTTGGTGGCTCTAGGCTATTTGGCTATAGGTACCGTATTTTTTTCTCAGTGCCAGAAATTTATATACATTCAAGCAGATTCGTCATTATTAAATTTCTTTGAAACCGATAATATTCGATGGCAACAATTTGAAAAGTGATTCAGTGCTTTTAGTTATTCGACGCAAAATGCCGTTTCGAGACTAATAGCTCTTCTGGCGTAACACCCATTTGGGCTAACAAATGATATCAGTAAAATAATATCAGTACTGCCCGTGTACATTGAAAAATAAAATAGCTTATCGAAGTAATATAAATATAGTTGAGAAGGTCTGAAGAAAGCAATAACCTGATTCATATTTCTTTCTCCGTATGTAACTACTAAATAATAAAATGATTTCCTGCACTGAAACATAAAGTACTTTTTATATATTAGTAAATCATCTCAAATGAAAAAACGTATTTCTGAGGAAAACTATTTTACTCCCAAAAAAAAATGTTCCAACAAACTTCTTTTAAGACCACATTATTTTACAACTTCAGATTCTTATTCTGTTTAGTTTTCAAAATTTGGCTTCTCGTGCTCGAAGGCATCGTTATAGTACGTGCGAACATGCATTGATTTCCTGAAACTATCTTGAATGTCAGTTTCGCTAAATTTCCACAACGTATAAAATAAATTTTAAAAACAAAATTCGAAATGCAAAATTCGGGCTTCTAGGTGGAATTAGTCAGGTGTAAGAATTACGTGTGTTAAAAATATGATAACGCTAGATGCCACATTCTTTCCACAAAGCAACAAATTCACATACTCATTCACTAATTCCTCATTTTTAATAATACATATTATATTTTAAACTAAAATTTGCTACATTCAGTCATAAATAATTATAAAATAATGACACAAATGCAAGAAAAATCTTAGCCTAAATTTCGTAATATATATTTTACAATCTCCTTACTTATTGGAAATAATATTCAGAAAGTATTAAGTTGCATTCTATAAAGTAATTAAGACAACATTAAATTAAGTTTGGTTGTGCTGTTCCTCATATTCACGATATCTGTTGGAGCTAGATAAAAATGACTATATTAAAATGCTTTTTATTTCTAACTTTTCAAAATACTTCGAGCTCTGGTTTACGCAGTGACAGGTGTACCAAATCATCAAACTAAATTTTGCGAAAACGTGATACAAAGGGCTATGGAAGGCACTTGCTGTTATTGTCAGAATGTGCTCATTAAACTTTACACGTTGTGGCTTGGTCAACACGAAAAGTGTATTTTATCTCACTTGCCCGAAGTTGTTACAAAACTCTTTATTCAGAAACATTAGCTTAAAATTTTACGAGCTATAGTTAAATCATATTACCATCATTAAATTATTTTCTCAAAGTTTCCCTTGAAAGACCCTTATGATGCTGAAATCAGAAAGATTTCGAAAAGGAAAAAATATATGAATAGTTGCAAATTACTGCTTAAAATTTTTATCAGGTATCAAACTTCATTTCAAGAATATTTACACAATTCTGATACTTTGTTATTAATATGCAGCTTTATAATACTTCAATTTAACATTAATTTTAGCAAGGGCTTTATATAACAAGCATTTCCGAACAACAAGTTTTTTTATTTAGTCGTTTCAAGTAATTATTAAAGAATCAAATTTTCAATGAATGCATGAATTCTTAAAGTGAATAAGTGCAAGACGTAGATCAACAAAGATAGTGCATTAGCAATAAAGCAGGGCCTCCCCAAGAAAATAATTCAAAGCAAATATACTTATAGTTAAACCAGAACTTCGGGAAAATTGTTTAATGAACAGAAGAGTAAGTAAAGCTAGTAAAAAGTTCAGAAAATATCCTAGAGCCACCACATTAAAACACAAAATTCGTCCTTATCGAAACCTAAAGGTGATTTGTGGAAATTCACTCGTTAATTCTACACTTTCCATTTCTTCTCAGATGCAAGTCAAACCTAAGTTAGTAAAACCATCCACGCAACAGTTATGTTTACTCAGCTTCATATGCTTTCATAAGAGAGCAAATCTCAGTGCATCGGTTGAGATATTTCTCAATGCCAGCTGTAAATATGATAGTGCAATAACGAAATCCCATGCAATAAGTCACGAATATTTAACTATATAAAGCGCTAGCAAACCACTTCAACCATAATTCAGAAACCACCCTCAGCACTCAGAAATGATTTGGTTACCTACCTTACCGTATATACTTATCCTTCTAGGAGTCTTATATGACTCGACATCCGCACAGACAACTGCAAATGGCGGAATAAACAGAGTATTCGAAAATCCTTCCATCGCTAAAACATTTCTTCAGTGCCTGAAATCAAGCATAAAATCTTCAAAGGTCTTTCCATCCCAAGAAGAAGATGACATAGATTCTATTGCAGGTGTAATTCTCTCTGCTGTCTCAAATTCAAACTCCGTTTCCTCAGCTAGAGCAGAAGCTTTAAGTACAGCACTAGCATCATCATTAGCAGATCTCGTAATGTCAGAAAATAATAACCAAGAATATGCAAAACAGATGTCTGCATTATCCGCAATACTTTCAAACTGTTTCGTCCAAACAACAGGAAATTCCAACAATCAATTCATATCACGTATCAACAGATTAGTAAAACTCCTAGATGATGGAGCAAAAAATATTCAAGTAAATATCATACCTGACCAAGGAAACTACGCTTCAATTCAACAATCTGGATACCTCGCACAATCAGAAAAATTAAATGCATTTGGAAACACAAAAGCGGTTTCCTCTAATAGTGCTTCATCTAGAGCAGACGCCAGTGCATCCGCTTTCGCTCAGTCGTCAGCAACATCTCTCGCATCGTCTAGCTCATTCGCAAGGGTCTTCTCCTCAGCCTCATCTGCAGCAGCTGCTGGAAGTATCGCTTATCAAGCCGGTTTGCTCGTAGCACAGAATCTGGGAATCGGCAATGCCGTCGGCCTCGCCAGTGCTTTGTCCCAAGCTGTCAGTTCGGTTGGCGTCGGAGCAAGTGCGAGTGCCTACGCGAATGCTGTTGCCAATACAGTTGGCCACTTTTTGGCAAACCGAGGAATTTTAACGCAAGGTAATGCTTCTGGACTTGCCTCAGCATTCTCAAACGCTTTCGCCTCCTCAGCCGCATCGGCAGCTGCATCTGTCTCTGCAGCAAGCTCAGCCTTCTCGCAATCAGCAGCCGCCGCACAGTCCGCATCGTCGGCTTTCGCCCAGTCAGCATCTCAAGCTGCCAGCCAGGCAGGGTCTCGTTCTACAACCACCACTACGTCCACTTCGCAGGCAGCTAGCCAAGCCGCGTCCGCCAGTAGTGCTTCATCTAGAGCTGAAGCCAGTGCATTCGCTTTCGCTCAGTCGTCAGCAACATCTCTCGCATCGTCTAGCTCATTCGCAAGGGTCTTCTCCTCAGCCTCATCTGCAGCAGCTGCTGGAAGTATCGCTTATCAAGGCGGTTTGCTCGCAGCACAGAATCTCGGAATCGGTAATGCAGTCGGCCTCGCCAGTGCTTTGTCCCAAGCTGTCAGTTCGGTTGGTGTCGGAGCAAGTGCAACCGCCTACGCAAATGCTGTTGCCAATACAGTTGGCCACTTTTTGGCAAACCAAGGAATTTTAACGCAAAGTAATGCTTCTGGACTTGCCTCAGCATTCTCAAACGCTTTCGCCTCCTCAGCCGCATCGGCAGCTGCATCTGTCTCTGCAGCAAGCTCAGCCTTCTCGCAATCAGCAGCCGCCGCACAGTCCGCATCGTCGGCTTTCTCCCAGTCAGCATCTCAAGCTGCCAGCCAGGCAGGGTCTCGTTCTACAACCACCACTACGTCCACTTCGCAGGCAGCTAGCCAAGCCGCGTCCGCCAGTAGTGCTTCATCTAGAGCAGAAGCCAGTGCATCCGCTTTCGCTCAGTCGTCAGCAACATCTCTCGCATCGTCTAGCTCATTCGCAAGGGTCTTCTCCTCAGCCTCATCTGCAGCAGCTGCTGGAAGTATCGCTTATCAAGGCGGTTTGCTCGCAGCACAAAATCTCGGAATCGGCAATGCCGTCGGCCTCGCCAGTGCTTTGTCCCAAGCTGTCAGTTCGGTTGGTGTCGGAGCAAGTGCAACCGCCTACGCAAATGCTGTTGCCAATACAGTTGGCCACTTTTTGGCAAACCAAGGACTTTTAACGCAAGGTAATGCTTCTGGACTTGCCTCAGCATTCTCAAACGCTTTCGCCTCCTCAGCCGCATCGGCAGCAGCATCTGTCTCTGCAGCAAGCTCAGCCTTCTCGCAATCAGCAGCCGCCGCACAGTCCACATCATCGGCGTTCGCCCAGTCAGCATCTCAAGCTGCAAGCCAGGCAGGGTCTCGTTCTACAACCACCACTACGTCCACTTCGCAGGCAGCTAGCCAAGCCGCGTCAGCCAGTAGTGCTTCTTCTAGAGCAGAAGCCAGTGCATCCGCTTTCGCTCAGTCGTCAGCAACATCTCTCGCATCGTCTAGCTCATTCGCAAGGGTCTTCTCCTCAGCCTCATCTGCAGCAGCTGCTGGAAGTATCGCTTATCAAGGCGGTTTGCTCGCAGCACAAAATCTCGGAATCGGCAATGCCGTCGGCCTCGCCAGTGCTTTGTCCCAAGCTGTCAGTTCGGTTGGTGTCGGAGCAAGTGCAACCGCCTACGCAAATGCTGTTGCCAATACAGTTGGCCACTTTTTGGCAAACCAAGGACTTTTAACGCAAGGTAATGCTTCTGGACTTGCCTTAGCATTCTCAAACGCTTTCGCCTCCTCAGCCGCATCGGCAGCAGCATCTGTCTCTGCAGCAAGCTCAGCCTTCTCGCAATCAGCAGCCGCCGCACAGTCCACATCATCGGCTTTCGCCCAGTCAGCATCTCAAGCTGCAAGCCAGGCAGGGTCTCGTTCTACAACCACCACTACGTCCACTTCACAGGCAGCTAGCCAAGCCGCGTCCGCCAGTAGTGCTTCATCTAGAGCAGAAGCCAGTGCATCCGCTTTCGCTCAGTCGTCAGCAACATCTCTCGCATCGTCTAGCTCATTCGCAAGGGTCTTCTCCTCAGCCTCATCTGCAGCAGCTGCTGGAAGTATCGCTTATCAAGGCGGTTTGCTCGCAGCACAAAATCTCGGAATCGGCAATGCCGTCGCCCTCGCCAGTGCTTTGTCCCAAGCTGTCAGTTCGGTTGGTGTCGGAGCAAGTGCAACCGCCTACGCAAATGCTGTTGCCAATACAGTTGGCCACTTTTTGGCAAACCAAGGACTTTTAACGCAAGGTAATGCTTCTGGACTTGCCTCAGCATTCTCAAACGCTTTCGCCTCCTCAGCCGCATCGGCAGCTGCATCTGTCTCTGCAGCAAGCTCAGCCTTCTCGCAATCAGCAGCCGCCGCACAGTCCGCATCGTCGGCTTTCGCCCAGTCAGCATCTCAAGCTGCCAGCCAGGCAGGGTCTCGTTCTACAACAACCACTACGTCCACTTCGCAGGCAGCTAGCCAAGCCGCGTCCGCCAGTAGCGCTTCATCTATAGCAGAAGCCAGTGCATCCGCTTTCGCTCAGTCGTCAGCAACATCTCTCGCATCGTCTAGCTCATTCGCAAGGGTCTTCTCCTCAGCCTCATCTGCAGCAGCTGCTGGAAGTATCGCTTATCAAGGCGGTTTGCTCGCAGCACAAAACCTCGGAATCAGCAATGCCGTCGGCCTCGCCAGTGCTTTGTCCCAAGCTGTCAGTTCGGTTGGTGTCGGAGCAAGTGCAACCGCTTACGCAAACGCTGTTGCCAATACAGTTGGCCACTTTTTGGCAAACCAAGGACTTTTAACGCAAGGTAATGCTTCTGGACTTGCCTCAGCATTCTCAAACGCTTTCGCCTCCTCAGCCGCATCGGCAGCTGCATCTGTCTCTGCAGCAAGCTCAGCCTTCTCGCAATCAGCAGCCGCCGCGCAGTCTGCATCATCGGCTTTCGCCCAGTCAGCATCTCAAGCTGCAAGTCAGGCAGGGTCTCGTTCTACAACCACCACTACGTCCACTTCGCAGGCAGCTAGCCAAGCCGCGTCCGCCAGTAGCGCTTCATCTAGAGCAGAAGCCAGTGCATCCGCTTTCGCTCAGTCGTCAGCAACATCTCTCGCATCGTCTAGCTCATTCGTAAGGGTCTTCTCCTCAGCCTCATCTGCAGCAGCTGCTGGAAGTATCGCTTATCAAGGCGGTTTGCTCGCAGCACAAAATCTCGGAATCGGCAATGCCGTCGGCCTCGCCAGTGCTTTGTCCCAAGCTGTCAGTTCGGTTGGTGTCGGAGCAAGTGCAACCGCTTACGCAAATGCTGTTGCAAATACAGTTGGACACTTTTTGGCAAACCAAGGACTTTTAACGCAAGGTAATGCTTCTGGACTTGCCTCAGCATTCTCAAACGCTTTCGCCTCGTCAGCCGCATCGGCAGCTGCATCTGTCTCCGCAGCAAGCTCAGCCTTCTCGCAATCAGCAGCCGCCGCACAGTCCGCATCGTCGGCTTTCGCCCAGTCAGCATCTCAAGCTGCAAGCCAGGCAGGGTCTCGTTCTACAACCACCACTACGTCCACTTCGCAGGCCGCTAGCGAAGCCGCGTCCGCCAGTAGTGCTTCATCTAGAGCAGAAGCCAGTGCATCTGCTTTCGCTCAGTCGTCAGCAACATCTCTCGCATCGTCTAGCTCATTCGCAAGGGTCTTCTCCTCAGCCTCGTCTGCAGCAGCTGCTGGAAGTATCGCTTATCAAGGCGGTTTGCTCGCAGCACAGAATCTCGGAATCGGCAATGCCGTCGGCCTCGCCAGTGCTTTGTCCCAAGCTGTCAGTTCGGTTGGCGTCGGATCAAGTGCAACCGCCTACGCAAATGCTGTTGCCAATACAGTTGGCCACTTTTTGGCAAACCAAGGACTTTTAACGCAAGGTAATGCTTCTGGATTTGCCTCAGCATTCTCAAACGCTTTCGCCTCGTCAGCCGCATCGGCAGCTGCATCTGTCTCTGCAGCAAGCTCAGCCTTCTCGCAATCAGCAGCCGCCGCACAGTCCGCATCGTCGGCTTTCGCCCAGTCAGCATCTCAAGCTTCCAGCCAGGCAGGGTCTCGTTCTACAACCATCACTACGTCCACTTCGCAGGCAGCTAGCCAAGCCGCGTCCGCCAGTAGTGCTTCATCTAGGGCAGAAGCCAGTGCATCCGCTTTCGCTCAGTCGTCAGCAACATCTCTCGCATCGTCTAGCTCATTCGCAAGGGTCTTCTCCTCAGCCTCATCTGCAGCAACTGCTGGAAGTATCGCTTATCAAGGCGGTTTGCTCGCAGCACAAAATCTCGGAATCGGCAATGCCGTCGGCCTCGCCAGTGCTTTGTCCCAAGCTGTCAGTTCGGTTGGTGTCGGAGCAAGTGCAACCGCCTACGCAAATGCTGTTGCAAATACAGTTGGCCACTTTTTGGCAAACCAAGGACTTTTAACGCAAGGTAATGCTTCTGGACTTGCCTCAGCATTCTCAAACGCTTTCGCCTCCTCAGCCGCATCGGCAGCTGCATCTGTCTCTGCAGCAAGCTCAGCCTTCTCGCAATCAGCAGCCGCCGCGCAGTCTGCATCATCGGCTTTCGCCAGTCAGCATCTCAAGCTGCAAGTCAGGCAGGGTCTCGTTCTACAACCACCACTACGTCCACTTCGCAGGCAGCTAGCCAAGCCGCGTCCGCCAGTAGCGCTTCATCTAGAGCAGAAGCCAGTGCATCCGCTTTCGCTCAGTCGTCAGCAACATCTCTCGCATCGTCTAGCTCATTCGTAAGGGTCTTCTCCTCAGCCTCATCTGCAGCAGCTGCTGGAAGTATCGCTTATCAAGGCGGTTTGCTCGCAGCACAAAATCTCGGAATCGGCAATGCCGTCGGCCTCGCCAGTGCTTTGTCCCAAGCTGTCAGTTCGGTTGGTGTCGGAGCAAGTGCAACCGCTTACGCAAATGCTGTTGCAAATACAGTTGGACACTTTTTGGCAAACCAAGGACTTTTAACGCAAGGTAATGCTTCTGGACTTGCCTCAGCATTCTCAAACGCTTTCGCCTTTTCAGCCGCATCGGCAGCTGCATCTGTCTCTGCAAACTTCTCGCAATCAGGAGCCGCTGCACAGTCTGCATCATCTGCTTTTGCCCAAACGCAATCCAATTCTGCAAGCCATGGACATTCTGCTTTAACGTCATCTTTGGAGGAAGCTCACCATTCCGCTGTTGGTTCTTCATCCCATACTTCGGCTTTAGCTTCTTCTTTGGTTTCTGGAATAACATCGTCTGGAGGCTCCATTCTAGATATCTCTTCCTTTGCAGACAATTTATTATCTATAGCATCTGAAATTCGAAGAAACTCACCTGGATTAGAATCAAAAGAAGTATTAGTCGAAACATTGTTAGATGCTGTGTCAGCTCTTTACCAAATTCTCTTAAATGCCCAGATTTCTTCGCTTAATATTCCAGTGACATTTGATGTTAAGAGAGCCCTTGCTAATGCCCTTTCTGCCTGAATTTTTTGTTTACTTCAAAATGCTCTGCATTTTACAGAACTTTTCCTTATGCCTTATATTGTTCTTTATTCAACACGGTGAATACAATTGTTTCGTTTCTCTCTACTAGATAATTCAATAAATTGCTGCATCTGAAATTCTTGTCTGTTTATTTAATCTAACAACACATTTGAAGCTTAATATCGTTTCTATAGATTTGAATTTGAATTATTGATACACTCTTACCATCTAATCTCTGTAATTTTTAAAAAAATTATGTTATATGTGCGTTTTTTTTTTTTTTTTTTTTTTTTTTTTTTTTTCCCCGATGCCATATCTTTTTTAAATATTTTATTAAACTTAGGATTGTTGACATTCGACATGGACTTAAGACAGCAAGGAAAAGTAAAAATAAACAAATACAATGAAACGTGAATAATGACATTTAAGAAAATTTTTCATAAGGAAGAAAGGAAAAAATGTCTTCATTAAGTTGGAACAAAAATTAACTCCAATCAGGAAAACGTTCTCTTCCGTAGCCAATTTTTAAAAGATAATTTAACTTCTGTCATAACTTCTCATAACCATGTTCTTTTAATTCTTTTCTTGTTTAAAATATCACCATAAACTAGCGACATGCCTTTTAAATAGTTCCTAAACTCAAACCATTAGTTTTTTTTCAGCTATTTTTATTACCCCTACATATACTGGGAGAATTTATCGAAATAATATAATAATACTATCTGAAGTTTAGAATATAATTAAACTACTTGTATGTTAATTTTGGTATATTGTTGCGCCACAAAGTATTCTATAAAGCATATTATTCTATAAAAGAGTAGTCTCTAAAAATTCCTTGGCGTTAATTTTTCTCCGCCAGAATCAGTTTTGAGCCTAAGTCACTCGAATCTCCTTTACGAATAATTCTGTTTGGAAGATTAGTTAATAAAATGTATTTCTCATTCAGAAGAGTCGTGCGTCTTCAATTATTTAAGAGTAACACACGCTCCCAGCATGAACACTACTTTAGTTTAGTTTACGAGTAAACTGCAACCCTCCTGGCCGATAATAATCTGCCTCATCGTTAACGCAGCACACACCGACGCAAACAAAAATACAGTTAAAAGATTAAAACACATTTTAAACAGATAAATTCAGATTGTCTATCTTAAAAAATACACTCACACAATACAAAATAAGTAAAATCATAAGCATAATCGGTTCGAAAACAAAAAATGGTAAGACGACATACTACCTTAGTGAAAAAAGTTAACTGCAAGTTAACCGCTTATAATTATCAATGAATCTTGATCAAATCTTTCCAAATTCGCAATTTAGATGCTTTCATCGGTTAATTATATTTCAGTGATTCTGAGTAAACCGCTCAATAGCAAATTATGAAATTTTCTTTGACTTAATGACTGAAAATAATGACTCCAAATTATCATTCTGAAGAACCTCAAGCCGAAAAACATCGGTCGTAAAGGGTAAGGCAGTCAAGTTAAAAAACAAGTGAGACAGTCATGTAAGAAGATGTCTGAACAAGTAAGACAGTCATGTAAGAAGATGTCTGAACAAGTAAGACAGTCATGTAAGAAGATGTCTGAACATTTCAAAATAAACTGAATCCATCTCTGAAGAATATTTAAAGGCACTGAAACTATTCCTGAAACGTTTTGGGAAACAGGAAGGAACACAACTCTTTCGGAGAATCGATATACTGTATCGTAATAAATTGAACCTTAAAATTTCTATTGTAATCTCACAACAGACTGGATCTTGAATCTGCCAAAGGTATCTTTCCATACTGTGCTGTGATGATTTCAAGAAAAAGGCCTTTATGAGCGAAACTATAATTTGCGTCCTTGCACTATGACATCAAAAAGGTACATACCTGAGCTGGTCCATAGAACTTATGACTCGGATTCCATAGAAGATGGTTTTCGTAATGCTTTATAATTCAACTTCTTTGGTTTCTGCATTAACACTGACTTAAAGATCCTACTTAAAATTTAATTATAAATTTGTTTATGTTTAGAAAGACTTGTTTATACTTAAAGAGAAATAGCAGTTCAAAATATTTCTGCTAATATGACAGATAGGAATAAATAAAATTTACAATACATAAAAGATCCATATTAATAAAATTACTTCTCTATATGAATTCGCAGAAGGATCATTAGTTGTCAAGCGATACAGATATAAGAGTTTAAATTTCTGTTTACATTCCGTTGTTCGAATGGCGCCGAAATGGAAGAAGTAGTTTCAATTTTAAATATCTTTAATAAATTCGGCAACTTTCGGTTTATTCAAACCAAACTGTAAACATTTAATAATAAAATATTCATACGTACATTTAGTAATAATTCACAGGGTGTACTCGAACTGCGCAAATGAAAATCCCCGGGTCCTGCAATAGTCCAACTGCGCCAATCAAAATTTCTTCCCCCTGTTGCCTACAGGGTTACAATTTAACTTTTCGAAGCCAATTGTAGCCAAAAGGAAAATAAAATAAAGAAAATAGAATTACATATCACAAGAACAAGTAAAAAATATCTAACAAACAGGCTAATTACTTGAATAACAGTAATAAATGCGAGAGCTAAGAAAGAAAATAAAAGGTAATGGTAAATATACATATTAGCAAAATTACAAACATCTTTCATTTATTATAATAATATCATAAATTAAATAATTATAAAGCATTCCAATTATATTTTTTATAAATTACATCAATAATAATCAAGATGTCTGAACTACACTGGAAAATTTAATAGAGTTCATTGGCGTGCAAAAGATTATTCCATATCAAAGTGTGTTAAAAATATTTTTTGTTAATTAAAATAATCATGTAAATGTTTGCAGAAATTAATAGTTACATTTTAAAAAAGCTTAGCATGAAATCTATTATAACAACTTTACTGTGCGTTTGGAACACTGACGTATAAATTGTAAATAAATTAAAATTATTATGCTAAGAAGTTTTTTAAAAAAATTATCTAGAAGAAAAGAATTAGACAAACAGTACTGAAAATTAATATAATCAATCAGGTCTCTCAATAAATAAAAGTTTATTTTTTTTAAACCAAAAATTAAAAAATAGGATGCAAAAGTTTGTGTACTATACTTGGAAACATCTGAACATATAATTAATTAGAAATGTATAATTAAATTAATAACAAGCTAATTAACTGTAACATTAAGCTTAATTTCATTTAATCTAAAACAAGCAATCGATCAAGAGCTCCGTATAACTGAAGTTTTATTGCTATTTTATGTAGATTTGCGTATAAAATAAATATTTGCACTTGTGAAACAAGTGAATAATATATTGATAGTCAACAGGAATTAAAATAAAGTGGTTAAAAATATAACTGCTTGTCAGAAGGTATGCAAAGTTGTCATGGCTAGAGAAATTGAATGATTATAGAAAACTCATAAAGTTAAGCGCTACAGTGTGAAAAGAAAATTCTAGAATAAACATGTTAAGAAAATTAGATGGAGAAATAATCCTTTAATTTATTGATATCCATATAAACTCTATGCTTTTGGAAAAAGTTACATATAATTTGCACCGAGGAATCAATCACCGAAAACGAGCTAATTTCTTTCCTTATTTTTTCATATTAGAGGGATTTGTAAAAAGGTATGCCAAGGTGAAAATTTTTGCAATATTTTTAAAGAATAAATTAAAAAGTATTTTTACTTCATGAACTGAAATTTTTACGATACATTTTTACACAGTAAATAAGTATCAAAAAAAAAAAAAAAGAAAGAAAGAAAGAAAGAAAGAAAGAGCTGGGAGATCTCTGGGATTGGAAACTCGGGTCGAACTACTAATGTTTAGTGACTTTTCCGGTTGATCATAAGATCTTTTGAAATTAGGCTGTAGCATAAATACAATACAAAATATATAAATTCTACATACATAAAAACTTGAATACAGTGCAATAATATGTGAAAAAGGAAGGGATTAAAAGGGAACTGAAAATCCCAAAATATAAATATAAGGGAGTTCGAGTTTTTTTTTTTTTTTTATGAAAATTCTGCAGACGCTCATAATTATGAATTTATTAATTAAATGGGCATTAGAAATTAAATGCATGCCAAAGTACATCAGGTAGTGTAACTGGAAAACAGAATAAATATTTAAACGTTTCTAGTATTAAAATATGGAATTTGTAAGAAAGTTAAATAACCTTAAAATAACTTCAGTGACTAAAAATGGAAAGCTTACTACAGCAATATATTGCAATAATATTAGTGTGAATTTAAAACCACTTAAGAAATCCTATTTTTAGATTTAATAAAGAGAATTGTTTAAATTAAATTAGAACTGGTTACCTAAAATGGTAAATTTGAAAGTTAAAACCATTCTGCTATCTAAGAAGATTGGTTAATATTCATCTAAACAAGAAACTTTATATTTATATAATTTCTACTCTATTTAACCCTTTGCGACACGCATATTTAAAATATATTTTAATCTTTAAAAAAATGCCTTAGAATAAGTCAGATGGACTTACTTAAGTGCCTTTAAGGCTTGAAAAAAATTCTGCGCTTTTATTTTTTACGGGGGAAGGTGGGATACCATTTGCAATGCACATGTCTATGCAACTAGCACATGTCTTATAGCATATTGGTGTATAGCAGGGAAAAAAAAATCATATGTGGAATGAATAAACAAAATAAAGCGTGCATTCTAAAATATTCACAATAAACACACTAAAATGCATTTTGTACTTATTGCATATATGCATGACTTGTAAAATTTTGAATATGCACATTTTGCATATACATATTTAATATTTTTAAATTTTAAGAACAAAAGAAAATATTTTCTTGAATATTATTTTAAGATTAAAATTTGATACACGTACAAATGATACTAAATAAAATATTGAAATTGGCACTTGATTCAAAAAACATTTATATGATTAAAACTGAAAAACAGTCATTTTTCATGAAACTTTGAAAAAAATGTTGTTTCATTCTTTTGTAAGCATAGAGGCACTTCACATGTTTCACATATCCAAAATGTTCGTCGTTCTTCTTTCGATGTGCTGCGATATGCACATCTTTCTCCTGCTCGTTCACTTTGGCATGTGACTTATATTTTTAGTCTCTTTTCTGGTTGTACGAACGTGTTTTTTTAGTT